CTCCTGCACCCAAATGCTATAGAAATGGGCCAATTAGGCCCCATTTTTATAACAACTGAGGTAAGGTAGGGAGCATACATAAGTAACAACTCTCCGGATGCAAATATTTCAAAACTTGCATCACTTCTTATTCTCGGCGCAATGCTCTGCTGCTCAAATGAGCACCAAAAACCTGTAGGATAGACCTTCCTTAACAAGTCTTTGGATTCGCTTCTTCAATAAATATCATATTGATCAAGTAACGAGTGAATTACATTCTGGTGTCAGGAGACTACTTCTATGAGCATTATTAATCCAAGGGCGCAATAATAAAAATTGAAGTTCCGTCAAGTTTGCCACACTAAACACCATCGAAATGAATGGCGGTAACTGCCGAGAACGAAAAAGGAAATTCTCCCTGTACCCTTTTCCCTCCAAAACTCAGCGGAACGGAGTTCTAAGCATGCCTCTGGGGAAAAAACGCAAGCGCGCAAATAATTTGGGACTGTATGCACAGAAGGTCCTTTTTTCACATTTTTTATTCAACCCGAAACTCACATACTCATGCAGAAATCATGCACACATAAACAGACTAAACCATCATCACCAACTATGGACATGACTACCAGTGATGCCGATGTTCCCTCTGATACAGAGAACTTTGATTTGGCACTGGAGAGCGAGTCTGATTCCGATTTCAGTGAAATTGATGAGCATGAACCAGACACATACCCCAATATTCCGCCAATCCCTCCCCTTTGGGAGTGGCTGTCTGAATCGCAGAAAGCCCTCTCAGCACTGATCAACCAGCGGGGCGCAATCCCCGGAAACAAAGTTCACTACCCTGGAAACACAATTAATGGGATTCAGGCAGAGCGTACACAGCGGCATCATGCAGCCAAGTGGAGAGCTACCAGGGGAAAATTGCAGGAGATGAGCAACAAGACAGCAGTTGACCAAAAGAAGCGGACAATTACTGACTTTTTCCAGAGTCGCCAATCCCACATTCCTGCTGACAACCAATCCCGCTTCCCTGTTGACATTGACAACAACAACGACAACCTATCCCCTTCCAATTCCCTTAACTATCCTGGCTCCCAACCTGGATCACCCAGTTGCTCTAGTAGTGGGAGAGCGGCCACTACTGCTGGAGCCTCGGACACGGAGAGTCAGACAACACCGCAAATTTCAACAACGCGAACACGCACACTTGCACCCACACCCCTATCCACACCTGAACCTGGGCCTGTGTCCCCATCCACTTATAATCCACCACCCACACTTCCCTCAGCTGGCATATCAAACCCGGTAACTCCTCCAACCAGTGGCCAATGCACAAGTGGGGAGGAACTATTCGCGCGGGTCCAGTTCCATTCGCGTCCCCATGTTGCAGCACCAACCAAAGCTCAAGTGATCGAGGCGGCAGAGAAACTTGATGCACTCATAAGGCCACCTCGAGCAACAGGTGCTGGCCATAAGCATTCGAAATTCGACGATTTTACGCGGATGCGACTGGAGCAGATGCTCCAAGTATACCGGACATTCAGCTCAGCGCGCTTGGATCCGAGTGGGGAAATGGGATGGATCACAGCATCATTGTGGGTTGCAAGATCATGGGATCGTGGTTCATCATATGCTTCACGGCTGCGAAGGTGGTGTCGAGTATTTATGTGGGATTACGAAACGATTCCAGTCAATCCATATGGACGGTGGAAGGAGTCAGTTCTGACAACCGATGAGGACCTTAGGAGTGAAATCGAGGCTCACCTGCGCAGTATTGGCCCATACATCTCAGCTATGGACATAGTCCATTTCTTGAGCACTCCAGAAATGCGTGTCCGGCTCAATCGTGATAAGCCAATTTCGGTTCACACGGCACGGCGTTGGCTTCAAACAATGGGTTACCGGTGGCAACAGGAGAAGAAGGGTCAATATTCAGATGGGCATGAGCGGGAAGATGTTGTCCAGTACCGCCAGAGAGTCTTCCTCCCTGCCATGGCAGAGTATGACAATTCTATGAGGAAGTGGAATAGTCAAGGTGAACAAGAAATATCTGACAACTCACCGGAACGCCACACTGTTGTCTGGTACCACGACGAGTCAATATTCTATGCTCATGATCGCCGGAAACTGCGCTGGGTTCACAGTTCTGAGTCAGCAAAGCCGCATCCAAAGGGTGAAGGTGTTTCACTTATGGTTGCTGACTTCATCTCTGCCGATTATGGTTGGCTGAGAGGTGATGGGTGTGATGCGCGTGTTACTCTGAAGCCGGGAAAGAACAAAGATGGATATTTCACTAATGATGATGTGATTCAGCAAGCATCACAGGCCATGGAGATATTACAGGCACGCTACCCGAACGACAAACATGTTTTTGTCTTTGACAATGCTCGGACTCATTCTAAGCATGCTGACGATGCATTATCAGCTGTCAAAATCCCAAGAAATCCCAAGCCATGGGGAGTTCCTGTTGCCTTGCGCGACGATAGTGGCTCAATCATTTATGGTCCAGATGGAAAGCCCCGCATGACTACCAAGCACATGGCTGATACGATGTTCAATGGGCAATCACAGCAACTTTATTACCCTGATGACCACCCACAGTATCCTGGGTATTTCAAAGGCATGGCCCAGATTCTTACTGAGCGGGGCTATGACACAACTCACTTGCGTGCCCAATGCGAGAAATTCAAGTGCCGAGCCAGTGCAAGCCAATGCTGCTGCCGCAATATTCTTTTTCACTCCGATGATTTCATCAACATCAAAACCCTTCTTGAAACCCATTGCGAAGCAGCTGGTTTTGATGTGCTTTTTCTCCCTAAGTTCCACTGTGAACTGAATTTTATTGAACAAGTCTGGGGATATGCAAAGCGGGTTTATCGTGAATCTTCCCCATCATCAAAGATCGGAGATGTGGAGATTAATGCCAAAAATGCGTTGGACTTGGTGTCTTTACTCTCAATCCGGAGGTATGTACTCAGTGGAATTTCAGGATTAAAATTGCTGATTATTCTCAGGTTTGCAAACCGCTCACTCCGCTATATGGACACATATCGAAAGGGTCTTGATGGGCGAGAAGCAGCATGGGCAGTGAAAAAATATCGGGGACATCGCCAAATCCCAGCCGAGGCAATGCAGGAAATGATACAGGAACTCATGATAGTAAGAAAGCAGGTTGTATATACTTCACATTAATCAGTCGAGCCACAAATGTTTGCCGCGTACAGCCACACCGGACCTTGCCGGGATAGTGATCACTTATGTATGCTCCCTACCTTACAAACAAGTATGTACATAGCCTATATATAAAGGGGAGATGGGAGCACAAAGAACAAAGGGGGTCCAAAATGGAACAAAGGTGTCTGAATAAAGGGAGTAGTGGATTGGGAACTGCACCAAGGGTCAAGGGTTAGACTCTATAGTGTGTCTGAAAGGAGGTAAGGAGGGCAAAGGCCCAGAGGGGCAGGAGGATGAGAGGAAGTGGGGTGGATGACTAACTGGCTAAATGTGTCATATCCATACAATCCCGACCTCCGCTCCAGGCTCCTGGAACTCCGAACCTGACTTCTGGAGCCCTACTTCCCTTCCGTCACCTTCTTCTTGCCAACTGCCAAGAGGTTATCCCACCTCCAGCTCTGACACCACCTTTGGTCCGACTCCGGAACATTCCGGGTCCGACCTCAACCTCGACACCTTCCAGACGAGTATGCAACACTTATGCTCCCGACTCCGGACCTCCACTCCGGAATCCCGTTTGCATCTCTGTCTCTGGAACCTCTGGTCTTTGCTCCAACCTTGGACTTTGACCCCACCTCCACTTATACCCATTGTATTGGTTAGCTCATTCCATTTAATTACGTTTGCCAATATTCCGGAGTTTAACTTCTAAGTTCGGACTTTCCGGACTTATGTCAGACCTTGCAACTATTGCATTGTCCTATTCAATTCCGCTATTCTCCCTCATTCCTATTTGGGCTGCTGCTTCCTTTCTATTCACTCAGCTAGCCATTCCCCACTCCCATCCTCCTTCCTTCCTCCTTGGGCCTTGGCCCTTCACTCCTCCTTTGGGAAACACCATTGAGTCAAACCCTTGACCCTCGGTGTTGTTCCTCTTTCCAGCTCCCTTTGTCTCCTTTCAGAGTACCCTTGCTCCTTTTGATTCCGGACTGCTCCTTATATACAATGTACATAGTAACTTGTAACCTCAGTCCAAAATCGACCTGAAATGCCCCCAAGAGACTTTCCCTCTGCTAGATCCGAAATTAGGGACCCCTAGGACAACCAGCAATGGCACAGCCTCTGCCCGAGTCGCTGAGGCCAAGGTCCTTCCACACTAAGTCTCCGATTCCACTCCGGAGTCATCTGAATCCACCAGTTCTAACAAAATGGAAAGAAGCAGTAGTCCAAATAAGGGTGAGGGAGAAGTTGGAATTTTGCATGTGGTCTTTTAGGGAAACCTAAAAGTTGGACATACTGGGAATCAAACTCCAGTCTTTGGATTGTGAACTCAGCATGCACTGCCATTACACCATACACCCCATTAGGCTGAGGTGGTTATTTCAACAGAAGTGAGAAGTTGTCATATCCATCCTCTGCCACCACCTTCTGTCACCTCCAGCCACCCCCACTCTGCTCACACCAACCTCAGAGCCCCCGAATTCCACCTTGCCCCTGATGGTCACCACCCCCCCATTTTGATATATTACTTATGCCTCCCTAAGTACAGAACCCTGAAGGCCTCCAGACAGGTCTGACACCTGCAAGCACACCCCCACCTCTGCTGGGCCATTTATTTGCTTGCCCTGAAAGTCCAGGGAATTGTCTTTCTATCTGCTCGCTGATGTTCTTCTCTTTCAAGCTGTATACTGAGGTGATCAGGATCCACCTGGCACAGCTCAAAGTGCTGGTGCACCCCATACCCATAACATCAGCATCTGAGTCACAACTCAGCCTGTTTCAGCCCATTAAGTGTGGCCATATTCTGACATGGTCATCCCTCAAAGAATCAAACACTATCTACCATGAAGGGACACTTTGTCAGGCAAGACAGGATCGGATTCAGCAGCATTCTTCAGTCCAGGATGTCCAATACCTGGGGGTTTCTCCCCAATGAGGTGAGTGGATGCTGTCCCTTGTTTCCTTTTTTAATCACGTCTTTTCCAGTTCCTGCATCCACAATACCTGTGGGCAAAAAATTCAAAGATCACCTTGGCCATGTCCAAGATATGGGGGCTTTTGCCCTGGTATGTCTTTCCATTGCATTATTGTTACCACTTCACCTAGACGCTACAGGTTGTCTACATCATCTTGGGGGGGTGAAACTAGAAAGCATGGTAAAGCAGATGGAAAAACATGGGGGAAGCTGGAAGGCTGAGGACATGGACTTGTACTGCTTTTCAAGAGATGCAGAGGAGCTATTACAGTTGTTCCAAAGCTATGGGCATATTTCAGCCATCCACCAAAATGTTTGCAAAGATCTGGGTGGACTATTAACAAATTATTATGACATGAGAATTATCAACTGATCTGTTGGCCATAGATCCATGCTTGAATTGACCCTGTCAATGCCTACATGATGGACATTACCCAACTCAACTACTTTGATGCATCTATGCACTATTTGATGCAATTCTTCAAGATCCTTTGCTTGCTGTGGAGCTGGGGACTGAAGTGGAGGTATGTAGCCATGATATACTTGTTGGATGGATGCCAGGCTCACATGATGAACAGTTCACAAATGTCATGTTTAGTGAATTATTACCATGCTTTAAAGCACTGGAAAATTGAATGGGATCATGTGGATTCAAGCCCATCCCCTCATGCACCAATTCTTCTTCACCACTACCTGGTGGGTTCTTTGAGCATGGATCAACATATGATGTATGTGCCAAGACCAAGGCATGCATCTGTGAGGCCAAGGAAAAGGTCCCTGATGATGACCCCTCTCTGGACCCTCCAGAGCCTGGGAATCATAATGGCTTTTTGGGTGATGCACCATTCAATATCTCATGGTCTGATGAGTGCCCTGAATAGTGCACATCCATCACCACTTTCCTGTGCTGGTATGACAACAACTTCACTCATGTCAATCTTGTCAAATTCTGCAAGGGCAAGGATGCTGTTGATCATGTGATGGCATGATACCCACAGATTTCTCTTACCCAGGTTGATGCAGGACCAACTCACCTGCACTGTAACTCCGCAAAATGGTGCCTATCATGGGTGAGCTATGGGCTACATAATGGTCTCTGCCATCACCCCCTCTTGAAGAGAGACACCATCACTTCTGCATTGCACTTGAAGGTCAGAGATGCATTGTCAATTTATGCACCAAGCCCACCTGATTTCCAACTTGTCATCCCAACCTGTTTTTGAAAATCATTGACTGTCAGGGCAACCACACCTGACCATACAACCCCAGAACCACCTTCCCTGACTTCCCCCACTTCCCTCATCTTCCCATCTTTACATACCTCTCACAACTACAGCCTGCATATGAACCCACAGGAAAAATCACATGGGTCAAGGTGAGCAACTTGCCTTAACCCATGTGACACCTTTTCTGAATCATGGGAACATGCTTGGCTTCTACCCATAGTCACATTATGACCTGTACAGTACATTTCCCTTTTATAGCAGCCAAGTGGGGAATAGGGAAACTTACCCTTCTTCTCAACTCAATCCCCACTTAGTCCCTTCAGTGAGTTTGAGGAGCTGAGGACAGGGTCTAGCACCCAGGCACCTGGAACATTGCACACACCTAGCCCTGAGGCTGGGCTGTCCTTGAGTGAGGACCAAGCCCTGACATTGACATACTTCAATCAACCTGAAGCCTTTGTCCATGCCCTTGAGGGCGAATTGGATTCAAGTGGTGAGGATCCTGAGGGAGGATCTGCAGCACAGGTTTATCATGCCACACATGTTCAACACTGCCAACAACTTGATGGGCTAAGGAAAGCCTTTGAAGGAGTAACATTTATTCACAAGGGAGGGAAAGTAGATGGCCCAATTGATTCCAGTATCATAACAGCATGGAATGCATTTGAGCAGGTAAGGAATGTATATCAAATTTCCTGAATGATAATTGACCATTGTGATTTGTTCACTTAGCACCTTCACTGATTCTCAGTCATAGCCTCAGTGGCAAAGGCAAAAGCAGTGCAAGATGCTGAAGGCTCTGCTGGAGAACTCCAATTATTTGAGGAGGATATTCACCCATTGGGTGGAAAGCCAACCTCAAAATTCACATTCAAGAGTAGTTGTCAGGGCATGGCCCTCAACCTGACCACCCTCTCCCCATATTCCCATTCCCCCTATCCTTCCCCCTACTGTTTCACACAATGATGTTGTAGGCAGGATAACCTACTATACTCTACACCACCAGTATTTTCACGGTTTACATTCATTAAGGGTTCCTTGCATGCAAAGATCACCTACCAATGCCCATGGTGCATAAAAACAATTTATAATGGAGTACAATTGCACATAATGCACTGGTACTGAATTGGTTCAGCCCAAAAACTACACTTGGTGCTACTTGCCACCAAGTGACAATCAAGGGCTCAAAAAAATAGAGAAAGATGATAAACATGGATTCCCTGAATTTCATCCAGATTGACCCAACCATTGTGGAGCAATGGTGGTGATGATTTCTCATCTTACCATGAGGTTCTGCACAATGTCAAAAGGCATGTGAGGGTAGCAGTGTTGAAAGTCCCATGTGGTGGAGCCAAGATCTGTACTTCAGGAGATCATGACACTGGTTTTTGGCCCAAAATGGAAATCACAAGCTGTACCAAAGTAAACAAACAACCAAAATGCACTCTGGAGTGCTCAGAAAAATTCAGAAAAATCACAAAGGATGTGTATGAAGATTCAATTGACATGGGGACTCTTGCAGACACTTTCTGGGACATCTAACCCTGCACACAGGCCAATTTCACAATTCTCATGCCCACCACTTGGTCAAAACTCAACCATTTGGAACAAATTTGGTATTGGGAGAAAGCTACGAACCCAGGTAATGGAATGGAGAGGTTGGGAAGGGATGCTATGGGTAGGAAGAGATGGATGAGTGTGGTGTGATGATGGAAATTGGTGGAGGACAGCAATTATTAGTGGATATGGCCAGCTTATCACTCCTGTTTTTCTTTTATTGACCTTCCACATCAGCTGTTGGACTTATCGGCTGTACATAACTGTCCACATGGTGCCCATAACAACAATCATTCATTTTATATTTTCCTTTCATTTATTATTGCCATTCCATGTGTTTAAAAGCCCTGTACACATAGGAATGGAAAGTGTTAGAATGCGGGGATTCGGACGACTCCGGAATGGAATCGGAGACTTATCATGGAAGGACCTTGGCCTCAGCGACTCATGTGGAGCGCTGTGCCATTGCTGGTTGTCCTAGGGGTCCCTAATTTCGGATCTAGCAGAGGGAAAGTCTCTTGGGGGGAATTCAAGTTGATTTCGGACTGAGGTTACAAGTTACTAGGTACATTGTATATAAGGAGGGGTCCGGAATCAAAAGGAACAAGGGTAGGACGAAAGGAGACAAAGGGAGATGGAAAGAGGAACAACACCGAGGGTCAAGTGTTTGACTCAATGGTGTTTCCCAAAGGAGGAATGAAGGGCCAGGGCCCAAGGAGGAAGGAAGGAGGATGGGAGTGGGGAATGGCTAGCTGACTGAATAGAAAGGAAGCAGCAGCCCAAATAGGAATGAGGGAGAATAGCGGAATTGAAATGGACAATGCAATAGTTGCAAGGTCCGGAGTAAGTCCGGAAAGTCCGAACTCGGAGGTTAAACTCCGGAATATTGGCAAACATAATTAAATGGAATGAGCTAACCAATACAATGGGTATAAGTGGAGGTGGGGTCAAAGTCCGAGGTCGGAGCTAAGACCGGAGGTTCCGGAGACAGAGACGCAAACGGGATTCCGGAGCGGAGGTCCGGAGTCGGGAGCATAGGTGTTGCGTACTCGTCTGGAAGGTGTCGAGGTTGGGGTCGGACCCGGAATGTTCCGGAGTCGGACCGAAGGTGGTGTCCAAGCCGGAGGTGGGATAACCTCTTGGGAGTCGGCAAGGAGAAGGTGACGGAAGGGAAGTAGGGCTCCGGAAGTCGGAGTTCGGAGTTCCGGGAGCCCGGAGCAGAGGTTGGGATTGTATGGATATGACAGAAAGACGACCTCCCTTTTGACTACAAAAGAGACTGTAGTGCTGAGAGATCCAAGCAGAAAAGTAACCCTAAGCTTAACTCCTTGAACATTATAAGGGATCCCTGACAATTGTCCAAGATGGACTGTATGTAATTCTTAAAGAGTTTTTGTGATTGTTCTTGTTTTGTTAGCACCCAGACCAAACCTAGGATGAGCTAAGGACATCCTAGACTCCCTCCCCATAAATTTGCTTGCATTTAAGGGCTTAGATTTCTAGCCTGCTTGCAACATGCACACATGGTGTAACGGTCTATCAATCTAGACTTGCTGTCATATCCATACAATCCCAACCTCCACTCCAGGCTCCTGGAACTCCGAAACTGACTCCAGAGCATTACTTCCCTTCCATCACCTTCTCCTTGCCGACTCCCAAGAGGTTATCCCATGTTATAGAATGGACCTAGAATCTTATGGTCCATGTCCATAGATGATTAGATTGTTGGGAATTCACCACCTTACTTCACTGTCAAACCCCATGCCAAGCTTTCCCACTGGGTTTTGGTGTTGGCTGGGGGATTTGTTGAGTTTCAAGGGATTTCCTTTGACCATTTATAACTTTTATATTAGATAGTTGAAAGTCATATGACATGTAAGGCAGATGTTTTTCATTATTGAATACATAACCCACAAACCTTGTACCGTGATTGTAACATCCTCACCATTGTGCCACCACTGTAAACTCAACCTGTAACCCTGGAACCATGTCCACCTCCCTATTCATCCTCTCCATGACAAAACCGCAACGAGGAGGGCATTCCCATGCCCAACCTCCTGCTGCCTGCTCCCCCCAGTCCACCAGGTGGTTGAGCGGTGAAGGAGAGAACGAAGGAAGGTCAGTTGGGAGGTTCAAACGCGACCACCACCAAGCTGTTCCCTGGTTCTTTAGTTAGGATGGGGAAGTGTACTAGTATTATTTATTGTAAATATAGTACCAATCCGAGTGTTTTGGCTAATTCTATTTTTATGGGTTAGTTTTAAAGTTCCTGGGAATTGACTTACAGATAAACCGAGCCCTGCGGAGCTGTTTCTTTATTGAAATTTCTTAATTTGTCTAGGTGTAATTCTGTGTAGCGTTGTTTAATTTGGATTTAAACTTGAATTTAATCTTCTACTTGGTGAAGTTTCAAAGATTTTATTCAGTTAATGGATTTGGATGGTCTCTGGAGTGTCCCTTGAGTTTGTTTTATTTTTGTCTTATTTTATTGCTTGTTTTAACAGTAGCAAAATAACTGTTTTGTGTTTACACTTGAAATCTGGAGTGTTAACCAGCTCTCCTGTTGAAATATCTACTTAATATTTCTCTCCTTTATTACTGCCTTTTACTACAGTGGCAATCTTAACTGTATATCACTTTTTCGCACTGGAGTGACAACCAGAAATGCTGGAGAAAAATAATACTCTATTTTCTTACTTCTCTAAGGGGGGCAAAAAGTCGCAGAAAGGGTCTCCCTTTTATACTCCTTGGGTCGCCTTCCTTTTTCACGCTCTACCTTCTATTTACAGGATTTATTCACAGTGTATTTTTCTCAAACTGAATAAAAAATGAAATTTTCACGCTATAGTTCTACTGCGCTTTTGCTGCGCTGAACTGCAGTTCTACTGCAGTCAGACTGTGCCTAGAATCCTTATTGTCCTCCCTCGCCTAAGCTATTTTAATGGTTAATTGGAACTTGGCTGCGCTGTATTTGTCGCAGTTACCTATTTCAAATTCCCTATATATACCATTAAATTTGCTATGACTCGATGATTCTGAATTCAAACTTCGCATTACTATGCGTATGGCTGTGCTGAGACCTTCAGCTGATTTATTCCAATTTTATTTAGTGACATTTAGTTAAAATGAGACTGAAATGGTAAATGAGTGAATTATTCAGGTTTAAAACTGAAAGAAAAAGTTGCTAGTAGTCAAGAATTACTCAAACGAATGTGTTATAGCTCTCCACTTCATTAGAATATCGTTCCCTAAAATTCCCGCCATGGTCCGTCGTAGTTTAGTGGTTTTCGTGAATTTCGTTCATATTCCCTGATTCCCCTTTGTATTATCACATCCTAATCCTCCATATGTATTGTTTGTTGTTATAGTAGGTCGTCCTTGAAGATATCATATTTTTATGTATTTTATTTAGGACTCTGGACCTCTTGAAGCTGTCTTCCCACACGTTTTCAGGTTTCTAACTTCATGTCCTTGTATCTCATTCATTTCTGGATGTTTTCTCACGTTCTTGGTATCATAAATTTTTATTTATTCCCACCTTTCCAATGGTGCTAAGGTTGTGTCCTATTTCCTGGTATTCGTTGAGTTAGCAAAGGTTCGCACACACATTTGGTAATCATGTGTGTCGTTCCCATAGTCATTCATATGTGGGCACCGTTTCCGTTTAATTGTTCGGGATTTATGATATGCGCGGGTGTTTATTTCTTTCATATGGGCTTCTGTGATTTATTTCAGATTTTTCCCTCATGATCTAAGGTTGTTTTGCACTTTCCGTGCTTTGTTTTGACCGGGCTCTTCTTATTTGGATGGAAATTGGTCTTCGCAATCTGCTGAAGTGCAGATCTCGGTTCCGACGGCCAGTTCCCTGCGCATCGCCACCCTCATGTGTCATTATACATGATGCGGATTTCTATATTCCCGTCAGGGGTATAACTTCACAACGGCTGGACCGTTTGGGCTGAAAATTTGCATAACTATAGTTCCCCATTTTTCATAATTTCCGTGTAAATTTCGTTGTATGTTTTAATTATGGATCCTATGCAAACATCTTTTCCCTGAGCTCGGACTTTTGATGTCGCTATTCCCGTTATTGGATATCTCATTAACGCATGATCCTTTTATTATGAAAATTTGGGAGGATTAAGATTAGATCTCTTCCTTTCTAATGGGCTATCAAGCTTGTCTCA